AGTTGTATTTCTCGGTCCGTTTTAATCATATTTTATTTTATCGGGCCAAATAAAATATATTACGTTTTCCTAATAATTATGGGCCTTTAGAACAGATGTATATTCCCCAACATTAATTTAGGAGTCTCCGAAACTCATTTCGGGCTGTTATCCGCTAAATTACCAATACCGGTAATTGGGCCCCGTTTGACCAACCGGTCAACTCCATGCCTTCCTTATGGCCCAAATAGGATATCCATCACCATATAGACGTCATCTAGACCAAGACTAATATAATATGTGATTCAGAAATTATCGGGCGGCCGCCGCTCCCGCTGTGGGCCCCACATGCAATTTACTATTCACGTAAAAGAAATAATAAAATTTAACAATTACGTAAATTCATAAATCATCTTTCAAGGTTTATTACATAATTTACTAAAAGTAAATATGCTTGGGGACGGTGCTACATAAGTGGCTTCGGAAAATTCACAAAAAGCGCCGGCGAGATTAACAGCTTCAACAAAAAATTCGTTTGCGGTAGGTTTAGAAACATGATTAAAAGTTAGAGTTGTGTTATTAAAATATGCCAAAACATTAACAATTTTTTCACAAGTGTCGATGTGAGCCGGGTTTATAATATAGTTACAAGTTTGTCTAAAAAAAGCTGGAAAATGATCTTTATATCTAACAAGTACTTGAATTAAATTATAAGTACTATTCCAACGAATAGACAAATCTTCAGGAAAAGCACAATAATTGACACGTCTATCCTTCAAATATTGCCGCCATTGCATTTTTAGTGGAGTGCTAGCCCAAATCAATTTAATTCCCCCCTTCACTACCTCCAAAGCATTTCCTAATGCCGCTAAGCCATCTTGTTGTACACACAAATTTAGAATATGACATGCACAACGTTGATGAAAAAACCTACCCATCAATGTAGAAGCACCACACAATTCACGTAATCTAGGTATAGCAGCAGTATTATTACTAGCATTATCAAAACCTACAACAAACACCTTATCAATCAAATTATACTCAATTAAAATACGTTCAATGAGAATATAAATATTATCAGCAGTGTGACGATCATTGAATTCACGAAAAGCAAGAACACGTTTATGCATATTCCAATCATCATCAGTATAATGTGCAGTAAGACCCAAATAATATAAATGATGATAAGTATCCTCCCATATATCGCTACAAATACTAACACGTCCATCAAAGTTTGCGAAAAATATTTGTAATTTTTCTTTTTCGAAGTTATATTGCCTTATAACTTCTTTTTTAATCGTTTTGCGACTATAATTTCTAAATTGAGGATTTAAAGTACCTTGAGCATAATCTCTTAAAGCAAGACTTTCTGAAAAAATATAGGGTAAATTTTCTTCAACAATTAAATGAGACATACCAGTCAAATGGTTTTTATCATCATAGGAAAAATTACCAAAGGGTTGAGAATTTTCAAACCTCGATATTTGTGTTTGCTTCCCCTTGCCTTTGTCTATTTTCGCATACTCCACAAAGTGGGCGGACTGAAGATGCCTTTTGAGACTCCCGTATCCGCCAGAAGTTCCCAAGCTAAACTCTTTCTTGCAATGATTGCAACTTGCGTACCATTTTTCGGTTTTTTCGTCTTTCCTTTTTGTATAATTGTTTTCAATAATAGGAGATTTAATTAGATTTCTTAACAATTTGGGTTGTAGTCGTTGAACGGCCCTCGTCCTCCAACTCTTGCTCATCATCCGGAGTCCCGTCGCCCCCCGCGTCCTCCTCCGCATCGTCATCCTCGATCTCCTCTTCATCGATGGTTGTCGGGAATTGTTGTTCTTGTGCAAAACGTGGATCATTTTTGGACAATAGGTGTTGTAGTTGCTCGTCGGACATCATCATATCATCTCGCCGTTGGTAATCCGTTTCAAAATCATCTCGACTTTGAAAAGAAGACTCGACTTGCGCTTTACCTTTGCCTTTGCGTGAAGTAGATCGAGTCGATGCAATCTCCCTCTTGCGGTTGCGTTGGAGATTACCCACATCTACAGAATGTCTACCACGCTCCATCTGTAAAATTGAACAAATATTAGCAATTAACTAATATGAGAAATGTAAAAATGTAGCAATTAACTAATATGAGAAATGTAAAAATAACTACTTTTTTTTACTTTAATGAGAAATGTAGCAATTAACTAATATGAGAAATGTAAAAATGTAGCAATTAAGTAATATGAGAAATGTAAAAATTAACTACTTTTTTTTACTTTAATGAGAAATGTAGCAATTAACTAATATGAGAAATGTAAAAATGTAGCAATTAACTAATATGAGAAATGTAAAAATGTAGCAATTAACTAATATGAGAAATGTAAAAATTAACTACTTTTTTTACTTTAATGAGAAATGTAGCAATTAACTAATATGAGAAATGTAAAAATGTAGCAATTAAGTAATTAACTAATATGAGAAATGTAAAAATTAACTACTTTTTTTTTACTTGAATGAGCAATGTAGCAATTAACTAATATGAGAAATGTAAAAATTAACTACTTTAATGAGCAATGTAGCAATTAACTAATATTAATATGAGAAATGTAACAATTAAGTAGTTTAACTAATATTAATATGACAAATGAAACAATTAACTTTAACTACTTTAACTAATATTAATATGACAAATGAAACAATTAACTACTTTAACTAATATTAATATGACAAATGAAACAATTAACTACTTTAACTAATATTAATATGACAAATGAAACAATTAACTACTTTAACTAATATTAATATGACAAATGAAACAATTAAGTAATTTAATAGATAAACGAGAAGTCTAACAATTAACTACTTTTATAAAATGTATGTATAACTATATATAGTATATATAATATAATGTGTAAAGAATATAGTATATAAACGAGAAGTCAATGAGTATAAGTATATATAGTATATATAAATATATAATGTGTAAATATATTATAAGTAATATATAATATAATGTATAACTATATATAGTATATATAAAATAATGCCTAAAGAATTATAATATGAATGTGTATAAGTATATATTTATAAGTAGATAATTAATATATAAGTAGATATAATAATTATATAAATTATATATATGTAGAAAGAATTTGGAGAAGATGAAGAATGAAGATGATTGAATATGAGAGATTGAGAGAATAGAGAATTTAGAGAGTAGGAAGAGTTGTAGAAGAAGAGGTGTAAAAAATGTATAGAAAATAGGAGTATAAATAGGTTTTTTTTTGTATACCCCACCCCCACCCCCACCCCCACCCCCCTAACCCCCCATACCCCATACCCCTCCTATGCTCCCAACGGCTATAGAGCCGTTTGGGAGGTCTCCCAACGGCTATGGAGCCTTCTATTATTTTAATTTTTTTTAAAAAAAAACGTGACCGTTGAGGCCCGGACCGGGCCCGGCCCGGCCGAGCCGGTTCACTAAAATCTAGGCCCGGGACCGAACCGCTTGAAGACCGGGCCGGGTGGCCCAAACCGTGAACTAACCGCCAAACCGGGCCGGTCCGGGCCCGCACAGTAGCGGGCCGGGCCGGTCCGGTTCCGGGTCGGTTGGCCCGGCCCGAGTCCACTCCTACCTCAACTACTGTGTTAAAGACACTTTTGGTACCCGTCTTTGAAAACTTTAATATTTAGTCCTTCGATTTTCATAAAATTGACACTTTTGGTCCTTCAACTATTATATTAGTGACATTTTTAGTTCTCTACTTATTGTGTCAAAAACATAGTTGAAGGACTAAAAGTGTCGATTTTTAGACATTTTCAACTATATGCACATTATTGTAATGTAGGTAGATGTTTTTTTATTTATTTAGTTTATCTTGTTTTGATGATAATATATACGTGACTAATTGAGCTATTCGTGTTGAACTTGTAAAACTAATGAGTTAATCCATTCGTTGAACTAACCAGAAAACTAATACTACCTCCGTCTAGGTAGACTTTGCCAAGTATAAAGTAGGTGCGAAATAACAATAGTAAAAACTGTGTGGTTGAGATTTGTGCAGAGGAGAGAGAAATGTGCAGAACCACAAATTAGTTGCTTTAATAGGAAAAGTGGCAAAGTTTATTGGGACAACCAAAAAGGGAAACTTGGCAAAGTCTAACGGGACGGAAGGAGTATTAATTTCATGTATTATATGATAGATTTTTTCGCTCTAATGTAAAACATTAAATGAGATAAGATCATACATAAAAACAACAAAGGGATTGTTTGGCAAATGGTTGTTTGTTGTTAGCTATTGGTTGTTTTTATTAGCTGATTGATGACAGTGGATTGTGTTGATTGTTTTGATTAGCTAATAATATTAGCAGTTTGTAAAATTGTGTTTGGTTAAATGACTGTTCACAATTAACTGATAAATTGTTAAATGAATTTTAAGTCCATCAACTATTTTTTTTTTGATAATGTTATAAGACAACTATTTGAACCATTTTTCATTTTAAAAAAAATCATATGTGCATTTGTTGTTATGGCATTATCAAAACTTGTCATCGGTAAGCATTTCAGATATGACAGTCATGTGAAACCAATAACAAATAGAAGATTTCTCAACCTCTAAGAAATAGAAAATTTCAAAATAAAATTGATGTGGGGAACAATCAGATGGATGGCTATTGAACAATTGGATGGATGGCTATTGAAGAAACGGGGGAGGATCATCTTATTTTCATATTATTATTGAGGACATTAGGGAAATGTTGGAAACAAAGAGTCTTTTTCTGTCTCTTTTTGTAAATGATCTTCGAATCGTGTGGCTCATGCAATCGCAACGGCACATGTAAATCTCCCAAATCAATATAGTAGCCATGATGTTTTGCCTGGAGGTAATGTTAGTCTGTTGGCTAATGACTGTTTGGATTAATAAGATTTGTTAGATTTGATGATCAAAAAAATAAAATGGGCATGCATTGGTCTCAGTGTTGTGCTGTGTTTTTCTATTCTGCGGAAAATTATTTTTGGAAGAAGAAGGCAATTACAGAACTTGGCATGGGCAGTAATGCAGTATAGAAAAAATAAGGAAACGCCGATGCTAAACGCTGGGAATTTCGGCGTTTGATATTTGGGCTGTTTCAAACAAAAAACCAATTGAAAATGTCATCTAACCAAACACCCCAAAGATGAAAAATCTAAAAATATAAATGAAAGTTAAATCCATATCCGTATTGGACAAAACCGGAATAATCCGTAGATTGTCTACGGGTTCCTCTAACATAAGTTTTTCTCAGTGTTTTGAGAAAAAATCAAATCTTCAAATAGATAACAATGATTTTATTGAAAATAGATTATAGATACAATCAGACCGATGCTAGCAATGATTGTTCTATGAGATGTCGTTGATGAAGGCATCAATGTTCAAATCAGCGGAACCACCTTTCTTCAGTGAGTTTTGACATGTTTCTCGAACCATCTTTGCTCTTTTCCTCATCTCCTTCATATCATCATCATCCAAATCCATGAATCTCCTCAACAGCCCACATATCTCATCCCTCATGACCAAACTTCCATCCCCTTTCTGCACCTTAACCCCGATCTTCCATACCCCGACAATGAGCTCGCTGTTTGTGGTCTGGTCCCAAAATATAGGAAACGTGAGAACCGGGATGCCCGCAAAGGCGGCTTCTTTCGTCGAGTTCCAACCACAGTGTGACCAAAACCCGCCCACAGAAGGATGACACAAGACCGTAAACTGGTTGCACCAGGGCACAACCAAACCCCCATCACCATTTCGTCTATGAAACCGAGAAGTGTCTATGTCCCCTCCAGGTGCGACCCATAGATACTTAACCCCACTCTCGTGCACGCCAGCTATGATCTCATCCAACTGAGCGCTCGAGACCGATAGGAAGCTCCCTTGTGATATGTACAGGACGGAGCTTTTCGCCTGAGCGTTTAGCCATTTGATGACATTGTCTGATTCTTGATCCTCATCAGCAATGACCGGAGAGAGTTGTTCTTTGGTGCCAAAGTAAGGGATGGCAGGGCCTATTGGGTGGATCGGGATGGAGAGGTTTTCCCTTAAAGCATCAATAGCGGAAGCTTCAAGTTCATAGACAGAAGTGAATAAAAGGTATTGTGCTTTAGGGACCATAGAGAAGGCTTTAAGAACATCATCTATCAATTCTTTGCCTTTGCCAATAACAGGAGTGGGAAGATCTGAAACTTTAATTGCTGCAACTCCAGGAATATAGTTTACTAGCTCTGTGCAGGTAAAATGTGAAGTTTTCAAATAAACCGGAACCCCATACAAGTTTGACCATTGCTATTTACAGATTCCCTGTTTTTTAAGCACACTCTCCTCCCTTACAATAACATTGTCAATAAAATGAACAAACTAATTATATTCATTAAAATACTATTTACAAATAACTATATCAATAACAAACAATACTAGTACGAACTGAGAGTGGTGTAAAAATTACTCCGTACAATATAGATATTAGTACAAAATACAGCCAATATTTGAAATATAGATACTAAAATCAATATTTTGATGTATATATTTATGTTATGTATAATAATGCATATTTGTGATGCCTACAAAAGTCATACACTAAGAGCAAACGAGACATGTTAATGAGGTTTTATTTTAACCAAATTTGAAATTTGGCTAGATTTAGAGTTGAATCAGTTAATTATTGACTAAATTAAAAAATGAAATTAGATTAAAAAAAATGTTGAGTAAAACAGCTTGATTTTCTTATACACTGTACTATGTTTTTCCCTGAACAAGTGTAACTAATACGGAGTATGATTCTGAAAACATATTATGTCTATAATAATGCCATAATATTGCAGTGTAAGAGTACTTTGTTAATTGATATATACCATTTGTTTAAATTACTATTTCGGGACATTTTCCATAAAAACATACGGAGTAATTAAGCTACTTTCAAATTTGAAACCTAAAATACTCATTATTTAATGATATGATCATCGAAGTTGAAATGAATAATAAAATTGAAATGATAAAAAATAGTTAGGACAAATTGCCTGAAATATGGGGATTATTGGTGTGGCCTTTCTGAACAAGAAGATCCCAGTGATGAAACACTGAAAACACGGTGGCCGACATGGTGTAAAGCGAAGCCACCGGAATATTCTTCCGGATCCCTAGCGACACCACCCAAGGCAAGTACGTATCGTGTAGAATCACATTCGGCTTAGGTGGCTCCAGCCTGTCCAGAATTTCCTCCACCGGCGCCTCCAGCTTGGTCTGGGTGGCTCTGTAGAAGCCCGGAAAGTCCTTCGCTCGGCCGATTTCAGATGGGATAACATCGGGGACGGTGAGGAACCGGATGTTTTCCGGGGTTGGGTCAGAGCGGATGAATCCGTACCACTCTTGAGTGAGAATGAAGGTGAATAGTGTGTGGGGGCGGCGGGCGGAGATGAGCTTGCAGAGGTTTATCATTGGGTTGATGTGGCCGCGGCCGGGGTACGGCATCGCCACCACATGACATTCAGTTCGAGCTTCCATTCAGGCAACCGTCGGTCGCCTACAACTCTCCTCCGAATCAACTGTGACTGAAATTCCAAGCCATCCAAGTATGAAGTATCTATATTTTGTTAGGTGGTCCCAACTCCCAATTGTAGCACCTTGTTCTACCCACCCTAGTATGCACTTTATCCCACTTTTGATGGTCTTTCCTCTCTACACGGAAGTTTTGTCATTCATTTGCAAAAAAAAAAAAAACATTCACAAAGGTGGATGATTATAAAAGTGGATATAAAGTTGGATACAACATCATTTTTGCAATTGTAAAGATCATTTCCTCAAAACCGGACCACATCGTACCGGATCAGATCGATTTGAGACCAAATATGCAAGAAAACCGAAACTGAAAATTGGCCCGGATATATTCCGCTTTTTATTCGGAACCAAACCGTTTCAAAATCGGAACCCGATCGGAAGAACCGGTTTCTATATTATTAATTTAATTTACTAAAAAATACAACGAATTTGTTTTAAAAGGGGGGTGGGGGTATTTGTTACTAATAATATTATTATTTCTATTCCTATCTATTTATTTACTTTTATTAGTCTTAGAGAGAAAATATTGAAGAAATTTGAGTGTAGAATAGTAAATATTATTTAATTCTATTATCAAGAAAATAAGAATAAATAGATGAATAAAACAATAGGACAGTATATAAAAATTTATTATTCCAGTTATTAATACGGGTAATCACTCTATGTCTGAGGTAACTTAGAATGTTTTCTTATTACACCCCACTAAGGGTAAGCCCAAATATTTTTCATCCTCTCCTGCCAGACCAACTCCTAACAACTCAATCAAACCCTCACGGATATTCATCGGCACATTAGAACTAAAGAACACCTTTGATTTGTTAAAATTAATTACCTGGCCTGATGCACCTTCATAATCAGCGAGAACTTCCATCACCAAAGATGCCTCGTCATGAGAAGCTTTGAAGAAAAGTAAGTTGTTATCTGCAAAAAATAGATGAGAAATCATTGGAGCCCCTCGGGCAACTGAGACTCCATGCAGACGGCATACTGACTCATATTTACGAAGCAAGGCACTAAGTCCTTCTGCCACCAGTAAAAAAGATAAGGAGAAAGATGATCCCCTGGCGTAGTCCCCTCCCCGGTGCAGCCAACTCAAGCATCCCGTCATCAAATGGAATAGAGTAAGAAACAAAGGTAACACATTCCATAATCGGCCATATCCACTTCTCATGAAAGCCCAAATTTCTCATCATCCCCTCCAAAAAAGGCCATTCGACCCTGTCTTAGGCCTTACTCATGTCTAATTTAAGACCAATTAGACCCACATTCCCTTGGCGTTTACACTTCAGAAAATGTTGAGACTCAAAAGTCAGCATAATATTATCAACATTACATCTACCTGGTATAAAGGCAATTTGCTGTTCAGAGATGCATAAATGAAGAATATTCTTCATGCGATTAGCCAGCATTTTAGAGAAAATTTTATAAATCACATTGCACAGAGCAATAGGCCTCCAATCGCTCATAGACTCAGGTTTGTCTTTTTTAGGAATAAGCACAATATTAGTATGATTAATGTGATTCAGGAGCTTACCTGTCACAAAGGCCTCTTTGCAAAAATTCACAATGTCCCACAAATGTTGATAAAATCCCGAACTCAGCCCATCTAGGCCCGGAGATTTATCCGGAAAGATGCCAAATGCCGCTTCTTTAACTTCCTCACTGCGCACCGGTCCAAGGAGCCCAATATTAAGCTGATCGTCGAGACGACGTTGAACACATCCAAACATAAAATCAGCACCACCGCTTCCTGCTGTGAAAAATTTATTAAAGTAATCCTCAATCGATCTGATCATTTCAACTCTGTCACTTTCCCATCGGCCATCATCTAGTCTAAACCCTTCCATTCTATTCCTTCGTCGTCTGTGCTTGACCGAATTGCGGAAAAACCGTGTGTTCAGGTCACCTCCCTGTGACAAAAATTCTTTGGCCCTTTGTCTCCAGAATATGTTCTCCTTCTCAAGCAGATCCAGGTATTCCACTTTCACCTTGTGGAATTCATTAATTCCCCTCGGGTCCCATCTTCTACGAAAGAAAGCGAGACTCTTTTTACAAAAAGCAATGCGCTTGCCATAAGAGCCCGACTTATTATTACTCCACTCACCAATTCCTTTACCACAAGTTGACACCACTACTAGAAAAATAGCTATTTGTTGCGGTCATTTTTAGCTATTTGCTGACGTTTTGAATCGCAGCAATTGGCGGAGCAGCAAAATGTAGCAAAACGTATTTGCTGCGGTTCAGAACCGCAGCAAATAGCTATTTAAAAAAAAACGAATTTTGACTTATTGTTGTGGTTCGGAACCGCCGCAAATAGCTATTTTTTAAAAATCAATTTTTTGATTTATTGCTGCGGTTCTGAACCGCAGCAAATAGTATTATTTTTTTAATTATTTTTTTGCAGCCAAAAATATTCAAACAAAAAGCTAAAATTGTACTACGTAATATTTATTTTTGTTTTGTTCTACTACCCAAATGGCCAAGTTTACAAACATGGTGTTTCAATCCAAAACATATGCTATTTATACAATAAGAAACATTCAAATTACAACAAGAGCATCTTACATCACAAACCAAAACCATAATCTCAAAAGAACTAAGGTATACATCACCAAAGTTCACTATGCATACAATAGAAATCCTCATCTTTTAAAGTTTATAAAAACTAATACGTAGTGATGGATAGTCTACCCGGGGGTATATATCCGAAGGGTTATTGCGGGAAGTAATCTAGAGAGAAGTCAGAGCAAGTAGACGAAAGTAGTGAGAGAGTATATCCAGTGTGTTAAGCGTGGTTACAAATGGGGAAATGGGGTGCTATTTATAGTAGCAATAAATGCCGGGCAGGGACACGTGTCAAGCGCTCATTGGCCGAGGGGTCACCTCAACTGGTTGGCGCTGGCAGCCGCATGTGGCCGCATTTAATGCGGCTGTTGGATGGGATGTCTGTGCGGGGTACGGTGATCTGTACGCATGTGAGGCGGATATCTTGTCGAGTGAGATACCTTCGGCCATAGAGCAGTAGCCGAGGGCTCTTCCACCCGATGGCACCCTGGTGCCGAGGGCTCACAGTGCCGAGGGCTGATGTTTTCGCCGTTTTCTCCCAGTTTCTTAGTTTGCTTGAGAAACCCGTTCTGTGAGAATTTAGAGCCTTCGGCCAGGGGGGCCGAAGGCACCCCTGGCGCGTAGTGCGAGCTGCTTGGTACTCTGGGCGCTGTGATTTGGGCCTGCTGGGCCTTCTGGGCCTGTTGGGCCTTCGCTGGAGTGGTAGGAGTCTGTGGGCCGGGGGTTCCCGGGCCATATACTCCATCAGGAGTCCCTCACTCCTTTTGCCAAAAGGTACTTGAGGGAAAAGGAGTAATTTGTGCTTGCCCTTTGATGTTGTCCTGTCGTGATCTCTGAAGTTGATGAGGAGTCGTTGCTTTTATGTCCCTGCCGAAGGCAATCCCTCAGTTACCCACATGTCGGGACTTGAGGGCTTGCTTTGTTGTAATTTAATGATTTTCCCGAAGGGGTCCTCCAGTCCCCCACTCCTTGAGGCACTTGTAAAGTGGTGAAAAGGAGTAAAGCAGTTACGTTGCTGTTGTGGGCCGAAGGCTGACGCTTTTCGTTTCATTTTGGGGGGATGCCTCGTTAAAAACCTCATTAGGAAAAACCCTTTGGGAAAAAATCCTAATGAGGGAAAAAGAGTGCCCCGAATTCCCCCAATGATGAATCGAAAATGTCAAACCGAAGGCTCTCTCTTCTGAGGGCTCCTGTGTTGATTTGCCGAAGGCTTGCTGTTGATGTCCTGGTGGTGCCGAGGGGGAGCCCCTCAATCCAGGGATCGAGGGCCTGCCAGATGAGGGCAGCAGTGAAGTTGTTACCGGGGGGTCCACTGTTCGTTGATGAGTTGGTGATGAAGATACCCGAGGGCTCCCATTACCTGTGTGCCATGGGCCCTCCGTCAATGAGGCACTCCCCGGGGGCTACCCGGTTTTGCAGTGCTGAGGGGGAAACCCCGAGGGGTGCCCCTGATATGCAGCCCTGGAGATCTGAAGGAGTGATCCCGAAGGCGTGTGTAATGTGCTGTGTGGGGCACAACCCGGGGGCACTTCTGGGTGAGTGCAACCGGAGGCAATCCTTGATGAAGTGGAGTGAAGTAGAAAACTCGGGGGCTTCCAGAATATAGCCGTTGGAAATATAGCCGTTGGAATACGTAACGACAGGATATAGCCGTTGGGGGGATGGCACACGTGGCGTGTGATGGCTGGCTGTTCGTGGGCGGCGTCACCGGTTGGGTGAAACGACGGTGCGTAATGATGGCGTCCATCCGGAGGCCCGGAATCCAGGCCCAAGCCCGGATTCTATCGCCTATAAATACCCCAAGGCCAGGCATTCCTCCGTGTGCGAAAAACCTGTTAGCGAAGCTCTGCCAATTTTTCTAGAGAGAGAAACAGCAGCCTTCGGTCCTAACTCAGTTTCGAGGTCAGTGCTCCCTGCCTTTCTCCTTCTAGCATAGCTGTACTGTGCCCTTAGTTTAGGAGATAGAAGAGTTAGGAAATACCACCGTCTACGAGCCCTCGAACTAGGGTGCGAATGTCGTCCCAGAGTGACTCTCAGGACATCTCGAGGACGCCCTCGATGGAGGACGAAGGCATCTCCGATGTGGAGTCAAGCAGTGGTCAGCCCTCGGATTGTGGTGATGCAGCCCTCGCCACTGAGGTGCAAAAGGATCTGACGGCTGAGGCCGAGGCGGAGGAATTCGAGCGAACTGCCGAGGATGAAGAGTTGGCCCTCGCCGTCCAAGTTGCTGAAGAGGAGGAGGAGAAAGAGAGGGCGAAGGTCACTGTGGCCGTCCTTCCCCCTCGGGGTGCTGGTGAGGCCAGTACTTCCCAGCCGCTGAACGCGGTTCCCATCCGGGTGGCCCCCGGGAAGAAGAAGGCCAAGGCGGCTGTCCCCAAGAAGAAGGTCATAGCTGCTGATCAGGGGAAACCCGTAGATATGCCGGAGGGGTATTCCTGGCTCAACACGGCTGCCTTGGAGATAAGGTCGAAGGCGGACAGGGCGGACCTCTACGTGACGCAGCTACATGTAGGGCCCTCGGCCGAGGTGGTCGAGCCGGGAGTTGACGATGTGCTCTCTCGGGCGCCTGAAGGGTGCATTGCAGTACACGTGCTGTC